GCCAAAATTATTTAGGTAGAATGTGCTGTGGACAGACGGAAAAAAATTACAGCTTTCTGGTAAAGCCCATCATTGCACTGTTTTCAGAAAAAAATAAAAGAGGCCTTTAAAGAGAAGACCCTACAGTCAAACATGGTGGAGGTGCACTGATGTTTTGTGGTTGCTTTGCTGCTTCAAGCACTGAATGTCTTACATAGTTACATAGTCTGGCTGAAAAAAGGCAAAAGTCCATCCAGTTCAACCATAAAAAAAGTTATAATCCTATACCCACAGTTGATCCAGAGGAAGGCAAAAAACCCAGCAAAGCATGATCCAATTTGCTCCTGCATGGGGAAAAAATTCCTTCCTGATCCCCCGAGAGGCAATCGGATATTTCCTGGATCAACTTTACCTATAAATGTTAGTAACCCGTTATATTCTGTGTATCCAAGAAAGAATCCAGGCATTACTTAAATCAATCCACTGAGCTGGCCAGAACCAACTCTTGAGGGAGTCTATTCCACATTTTCACAGCTCTTACTGTGAAGAAACCTTTCTGTGTTTGGAGATTAAATTTCTTTTCCTCCAGACGAAAAGAGTGCCCCCTTGTCCTCTGTGATGACCTCAGGATGAATAACTGTACACCGAGTTCACTATATGAACCATTGATGTATTTATACATGTTGATCATATCCCCCCTTAACCACTTCCTGTCCGGACACTTTTACCCCCTTCCTGTCCAGGGCAATTTTCAGCTTTCAGCGCTATCACACTTTGAATGACAATTGCGCGGTCATGCAATACTGTACCCATATGAATTTTTTACCATTTTTTTGAGACAGATAAAGCTTTATTTTGGTGGTATTTATTCACCGCTGGGATTTTTATTTTTTTTACTATGTAAATGAAAAAGTCCAAAAATTTTGAAAAAAAGTGTTTTTTTTTTTATAAAATTTTGCAAATAAATAATATTTCATCCTAAATCTTGGCCAAAATTTATTCCGTTATTTTTTTAGTAAAAAAAAAAAATCCAAATTAGTTTATAACCAAACATTATAATTTTTAAACATTTTTTTTTTTACATTTTTATTTTATTTTTTTTTATATTATTTTTTATTTTTATTTTTTATTTTTACATACTGTCACCCTAGAAGTACAGTGTCACCATGGTGACACTGTACTACTTGTGGGGGGTGATGAAGATTTTTTTTTTTTTTTTTTTTACACTGATTGCTTTTACACCCATATAGGATGTAAAAGCAATCATTTCTCTTTCTCTCTGTCTGCATTCTTGCAGTCATTGAGAAATACTGAGTGAGCTGTGATTGGTCACAGCTTGTCACATGGTACAAGGCTGTTGTGAATAGCCTTGTACCATGTGACCTCTGTGATCATTCACAGATTTCCACGTAGTAAGCAATGATGTCACAAGTGACATCTTGCTTACTACTTTGCATGTGATCACTGATTCGCCAATCAGTGATCACATGACCGGGACCTCGTACAGTGGTCCCGTCCGACGATCTGTGTTTCACTGTGTCCGGAGGACACAGCGGACACCGGATCGCGGTGGTGCGCGCTCCTAGGGAGCGCGCACAGCTAGAAAAGGCGGGTGCCGTTTAGGAACGGCAACCCGACCTTGGACTGCCACCGCCCTGCCGTTTATAAACAGCAGGCGGACGGCAAGAGGTTAATCTTCTCTTCTCAAGAGAGAATAAATTCAGTTCCTCTAATCTTTCATCATAGCTGAGCTCCTCCATGCCTCTTATCAGTTTAGTTGCCCTTCTCTGTACTTTCTCCAGTTCCCCAATATTCTTTGTGAATTGGTACCCAAAACTGAACTGCATATTCCAGATGAGGTCTTACTAATGATTGTATAGGGGTAAACTGATATCTCTCTCTCTGGAGTCTATACCTCTTTTAATAAAAGAGAGGATTTTGCTCGCTTTAGAAACTGCAGCTTGGCATTGCATGCCATTATTAAGCTTTTGATCTACCAGAACTCCCAGATCCTTCTCCCCCAGTTGTATCTCCCCTAGTATTATTATTATTATTATTATACAGTATTTATATAGCGCTAAAAGGTTTGCTCAGCACTGTACATTATAGTGGGGGACAAAACATGAGACAATACAGTAACAAAACAAAACACGAGGGATTCAAGGGCCCTGCTCTTTCGAGCTTACAATCTAAGAGGGAGGGGATAGTGGTACAGGAGGAAGTGGCTGTGGGGAATGGAGTGGTAGGAGGACTGGAGGAGATCGGCTGTTAGGTAAGGGTGGGGTAGGCTTCCCTGAAGAGATGGGTTTTTCAGGGTGCGCCTAGTGCGCCAGGGTGGAGAAGTCCTGCAGTCGGGCATGGGAGTTGGAGACCAGAGAGCTAGAAAGTAGGAGGTCTTGTGAGGAGCGAAGATTACGGGTTGGGTGGTATTTGGGTATCAGGTCGGTGAGGTAGTTTGGGGCAGCATTATGAATGGCTTTGTATGCCTGTGTTAGTAGTTTGAATTTAATGCGTTGGGCAATCGGGAGCCAGTGGAGGGAATGACAGAGGGGGGTGGCAGAAGCGGAGCGGTTGGTAAGGTGGATGAGTCTGGCCGCTGAGTTCAGGATAGACTGAAGCGGGGATAGTCTGTGATGAGGTAGGCCGGTGAGAAGGGAGTTGCAGTAGTCCAGACGTGAGATAATAAGGGAGTGAATGAGTTGTTTAGTAGTGTCTGGGGTTAGGAACGAACGTATTTTGGAGATGTTGCAGAGATGGAGCCTGCATGAGTTTGCCAAATGATTGGACATGGGGTTGGAAGGACAGGTTTGAGTCTAGAGTGACACCTAGGACTTTGGCTTGTGGGGTGGGACTGATGGTGGCGTTGTTGGTCGTGATGGAGAGGGTGGAGGGGGGGGGGCACGGGCTGGGGGGAAAATCAGGAACTCGGTTTTGGAAAGGTTCAATTTGAGGAAATGGAGCGACATCCAGTCTGATATGTCGTTCAGCAGGTGGGTGATACGGTCAGAGACTGAAGGGGTGAGGCGAGGGGTGGAGAAGTAAATTTGCGTGTCATCGGCATAGAGGTGATAGTTGAAGCCGTGGGAGTGTATCAGTTTGCCGAGGGGAGGAGGTGTAGATGGAAAAGAGAAGGGGCCCGAGGACCGAACCATGGGGGACCCCAACAGAGAGGGGGAGAGAGGGGGAGGTGGTAGCGTTATAGGTAACACTGAAGGAGTGTTGGGATAGATAGGAGGAGAGCCAGGAGAGAGCGGACTCTCTGATGCTGAGGGAGTGTAGTTTGTTAAGGAGGAGGGGGGTGGTCGACTGTGTCGAAGGCCGCGGAAAGGTCGATGAGTAAGAGGACTGAGTAGTGGCCATTAGCTTTGGCAGTTAGCAGGTCATGAATGATTTTGAGTAGGGCGGTTTCAGTGGAGTGTAGGGGACGGAAGCCAGACTGTAGTGGATCGAGGAGGTTGTTGTCAGTGAGGTGAACGCATAGGCGATTGTAGACTAAGCGCTCAAGGAGCTTGGAAGTAAATGGCAGCAGGGAGATGGGTCTAAGGTTGTTCAGGTCGGTGGGGTCCAGGGAGGGTTTTTTGAGTATGGGGGTGATGTGCACGTGCACCTTGTTACTATTAATACATTTGAAGAATGTACCGTGCACCGTGTGCATGGCATTATGAAATCTGAAGACTACCAAAGGTTTCTGGGGTGCAATGTAGGGCCGAGTGTCAGAAAGTTGGGTCTCTGTCAGAGGTACAGCAGGACCCAAAGCACATGTCAAAAAGCACCCAGAAATGGTTTAAGACAAACCGCTGGAGAGTAGTGAACTGGCCAGCAATGAGTCCAGACCTGGAGCAGTTGTCGAAAGAAGAGTTGGCCAAAATTCCAGTAGAGAGGTGTATGAAACTCATTGATGGTTACAGGAAGCAATTGATTTCAGTTCTTTTTTCCAAGGAGTCTGCTACCAAATATTAAATTGAAGGTGCCAATAATTTTGTCCAGTCCATTTTTGGAGTTTTGCACGGAATGTATGCTTTTTGTTTCTCTACTTTTTTGTGTCATACCAACACAAACAAAAGAAATAAAAATGAGAATGCCTAAACATTTGTAATTGTAACAAATTTCTGGGTGAAGTGGTGCATTATCTGACAGATTTGGCCATGACTGTAGCTAACAGGTGGGAAGCCTCAATTTCATCATTTACTCAGTACGCTGCTATTAATACGGAGTCATGTCAAAGCTTACTGATCTTCAAAGAGGGCAGATTGTTGGTTTCTGCTTAGCTGGTGCCTCTGTGACTGAAGATGCCAATTTATTTGCCGTGTCGCAAGGTACACTATCAGAGGCTATGACAGCATATAGTTTCCTGAAAACGTTGTTTGATAAGCATAAGCACGGTCAACATGGTCAACTGACTGAAAGAGACAACAGGACATTGCACAGACTAAGCATGAAGAAAGAAGGGACTAACTACATAGAACATGCCCTAGCTACAGAGTGAGGAAGGGACAACATTATTTAGAGGCAAACACACAGACAATAACATAATATTTAGAAAATCTGACAAATTGTTTTCTTTTCCTTGCCCTCCAGAGGATTTACCCCCCATCCTGCTCAGGCCATTTTTTGCAATACGGCACTGCATTACTTTAACTGACAACTGTGCGGTCATGCCACGCTGCACCCAAAACTAAAATTTATGTCCCTTTTTTTTTCCCACAAATGGAGCTTTCTTTTGGTGGTATTTGATCACCTCTGCGTTTTTTATTTTTTGGGCTATGAACAAAAAAATTCAGACAATTCAATTTAATAGCAATTTTTGCTATTAATTCTATCCAGTAAAAAAAAATTTAAAAATCAAATTTCATCATAAATTTAGGCCAAGATGTATTCTGCTGCATGTCTTTGCTAAACAAAAAATCCCAATACGTGTAAAATAACTGGTTTACGTGAACGTTCTGGCGTCTAAAATGGTGGTATATATACTGGAATTTAAAAAAAAATTTTTTATACTAGTAATGGTGGCGATTAGCGACTTATAGCGGGATTGCGGTGGGCATTCTGACACTGGGGGGGAACTGACTGTCACTGACATCCCCAATGACACTAATACAGTGATCAGTGCTAATAAAAAGCACTGACACTGTACTAATGACACTGGGCAGGAAGGAGTTAACATCTGGGCTGATCAAAGGGTTAACTGTGTGCTGTGCATGTTTTACTGTGTGCTGTGTTTTATTAGGGAGGCATGCTGTTTGCTGCATCCAGAGCATTACAAAGCAGAATGCTAGTGCTGACAGGGAAGAGATCTGTTTTGTTTACATACAGACCTCCCTCGTCAGTGATACTCTGCAATCGTCCGGTGGGGACCCAGTGATCGACAGCTGTAGCCTCCAATGGCGGCATGCGTCCCCTACCCGAAGAGACAAAATCACATATATACATGTGATTTTGCACAGCCCTGCCGCCTTGTAGCAGTAGTTTTGCTATCGGGCGGGTCGGGAAGCGGTTAATCATACTAGCTGCAATACTGTATACGTTTTGACATTTCTTGTTCTTCTGAACAAAGTTCTACACTTATTTGGGAGTACTTTATGGAGTTTATGGTCCTGTAATTGTATAGGCCAATATTTACAGATAATCCTACTGATCACCTGAAGTTTGTTGTTAAAATTAATAATAAAAGTAGCTGGGAAACCTTCAAGCTTCATGCACATTAGCGGGTTTTTTTAAGCACAAAAAACGCCGGGAAAAACACTGGATAAAAAACACTGATAATATAATTTTTAGTAGCATTCAAAAGCGTTTAGGAGTGCTAGCGTTTTTATTAGTGTTTTTACAGTACTTGTATAGGAAAAAAAGAAAGCTAGAAAAAAGCTTTTCGGAGAGTTATAGTAGTGCATAGCAGCGTTTTAGCAGCGTTTAGGAGCATTTAGTGTTTTTCTGCTGGAAAAACGCTCAAAAAAAACTCTACAAAAACAGTTTTCTTTCTGCTCCTAGATGCTGAAGCTCAAAAAATGCTAACAAAATAGCCTAAAGTAGTTAGAATGGACACATAGGGGTTTATTTATTAAAGCTGGAGAGTCCAAAATCAGACTCCCTTCTGCATAGAAACCAATCAGCTTCTAACCTAAGCTTGTTCAATGAAGCTTTGGCAATGAAACCTGGAAGCTGATTGGTTTCTATGCAGAAGGGAGTCTGATTTTGGACTCTCCAGCTTTAGTAAATAAACCCCATAGGATAACACTACTTAGCTTCTAGGAGCTACAGCTTTTGGAACTTCACTGAGAGTATCTCTCAGTCTGGTTCAGTAGATTACACAATCATGGGGAAGACTGCTGACTTGACAGTTGTCCACAAGACAGTCACTGACACCCTACAGATGGAGGGCCAGTTACAAAAGGTCAATGCTAAAGAAGCTGGCTGTATGAATCTACTCTGCAGAGTGCTTAGTTTATGGGCTCAGTTAACAATTTTCATTGTACATAGTTTGGATAACATAGGGTTAAATGGCATGGCCATAAATTAACTTCACAATATCTGGACATGCAGAGTGCTTGGGATGCCTATATGGACACCATGTATTCCTAGTTAAGAGATGTTTGTAATCTGTGGAGGGGGCTGCAGACTTAGCTGGTTACCCACACCCTCGATCCTACCTGTCACTCTTCTCATGTTCTGAAAATAAATCCTCCTGTGTTTTGACCTGACAGACAGCTTACCTCCCCAGACTTTTATAACATTGGCTCAGCTCTCCTCCCTCTCTACATGTTAGTGTCAGCAGCGGCCATCAGTAACTCTGCTCTGGGCTCTTTCAGCACTGGTGATCGGGAGAGGGAGAGGATCAGACTGAAGGAGGACTCAGAGCGAGCATGCAGGAGACTGCTTGGAGGAGACAGAAAGGAGATTTGGAGCTGCTAATATATATATACCGCTGGTGGTGTATGTATTTAGAAGCTATGACAGTGCAGCTGCCCCAACAACTCAGATTCCGGGACAAAACCTGGGACTGAGCTCTAGTGGGACACCCTACAAGAAATCGTGACTATCTCGGCTAATCTGACTTTTACCAACTGTGGGATGGTGGCAATTTCGGTCATGAAAATATGAGTTGCCAGCTGTTCGTTTGAAGTAGTTTTGGAAATGATGTTCCCAAATCAGAATAGGAATAAAAAAACCCAAAACAGATTGGATCTATGAATGGAGAGGGCATACCCTTCAATCACCTGCCTGTCCTCTAATCAAAGATTGTGTTTAATTCATAGAACCTATCAGGCTCAGACTGGGACAAAAAATAGGTCCAGGCATTTTAGACTGAGCAGCCCCAGTGTGGTCAGTCATGGGGGGTTGGTGACCACAGGTCAGGGTATGATGTCACGAGGGGGCGGGGGTGATCCTGCCCCTTGTAACATCATCACCCTATTTAAGAACTGTCATCATGGCGCAGCTGTCAGACGGCGGGAGCTAACGTTGTGGGCGGAGCGTATTTTTTTTACCTTTTTTGGGTCAGCAGTGGTGGCAGCCATCGTGATTGACGTTAGATCTACTTTGGCGGACATTTTTTTTAATTTTGATTTTTAACAAAGGACTTGTCAAAGACTGTCCTCTGTCTTTTTTTACACTACACTTTTCTTTTTTGTGAATGGGTATCGGTACCATGTACTGCATACTCATTCACATAGGGGGGATCTGGGGGACCCCTTGTTAAAGGGGGCTTTCAGATTCCGATAAGCCCCCCCACCCACAGACCTCCACAACCACCGGTCATCAATTGACATGGGGACAAGGTGCTTTGAGGGGGGAACCCCTCTGCCCCAAAGGACCCCCCCATGTTGAGGGCATGTGGCCTGGTATGGTTCGGGTAGGGGGGCGCTCCCTCGTCCATCCCCCCCTTTCCAGACCTGCTGGGATGCATGCTCGGATAAGAGTCTGGTATGGATTTTGGGGGGGGGGCCCTCACGCCATTTTCTTTTCAATTTCAGAATGGGGGGTTCCCTTCAAAATCCATACCAGACCTGAAAGGCTTGATATGGATGGAAGGGAGGACCATATGCCATTTGTTTTTAAAATGTCGGGCAATGCTGACAATTGTTTTGACATTCAGCGGAACAGCTGAAACATGAACGAATGTTTCATTACTAAAATACCACATGACTGAATGATATATAATAACTAGAAAAGCTACAATTTCTGGGGAAATTGTGTGAAGTGTTCTTGCCTCCATCAGTAGTCTACAACTGGAGTGAGCGGAGTAACTGGGTGGAGTAACTGGGTTTCTATGGCAACTCACTCTACAGCAAGGGCAGAGAAGAGCGGTTAAAAACAAACTGCTCCAATTTGCTCACTTCACTGGCAGTTGCCATCTTCAAACGGTTGTAGTTTAAAAATTATAAATTATAATTTGTAGTTTAAAAATTATAAATACACCGAGGAGCTTTATATTGTGAGAATCACAAGACCCAGACCTACATTTTGATGCATAGTATGTCTCTGAAATATTAAAAATGAAGGCACAGTCGCAGTTTAGAAATTGCCCTTCAAATTTGAGGTGGCTAGAGTGGAGTTTCAATGAATGTCAATGGGTGGCATGAGTTGCAAACAAATGGTCATATTGCTTCCAGGCCAAGACTGGCCATATTGTGAAAACTATCAGGACTATGGCTTAGCCGTGGACATTTTTAGTGGCAGCAGGGATAGCTGAACGTTTTGATATAAGATTTGTGTAGGTGGGCTTAAAAATGAGGGAGTGATGGCAGTTTAGAAATCATGTCCTGATTTTTCAGCTCACACTCTACACATTTCACCACAAAAACGCCGATATTTTGTGAACCATTCGGCGAAATGTTCCACAAAGTAATAGCACACCAATCGGAACAGTACGCACGTTTCGGTATATTACTGTCTATGTAGTGTAAAAACTGTGGGAGGAGTTAGGGTGATAAATTTGGCTATAATAATAAGAATATATATGTGAGATAACAGTAAGTGGTCTTGCCATGGAAGAACACTTAATGAATGTAGTATTTTAGTAACTGAGCAGTATCTTACTGCATACTCAGTAAACTGTCCCTGTTTGAAGTTCACGGTCGAACTTTCGGTAGGTTTGAATGTTCGACCGTGAACAGAAAAGGGGGGTGTTCAGCCCATCACTATTTGTGAGTACCGCAAAGCCAGTTATAAAGCATTACTCACAAAGCCAGACATAAAGGAGTTTTGCTTAATAACTGGCTTTGTGCGTAATGCTAAATAACTGGCTTTGTGACTGCTGAAAAACCAGTTGTAAAGCATTACTGACAAAGCCAGTTATTTAGCATTACTTTCAAAGCCAGTTATTAAGCAAAACTCCTTTATGTCTGACTTTGTGAGTAATGCTTTATAACTGACTTTGCAGTACTCATAAAGCCAGTTAATAAACATTACTCACAAAGCCAGTTATTAGGAAAAACTCCTTTATAATTGGCTCTGTGAGTATTGTCTTATAACTGACTTTGTCAGTACTGCAAAGCCAGTTATAAAGAAGTATTGTTTTATAACTGGCTTTTGAGTCTTACTTTTAGTGCTTACAAAGCCAGTTAAATATGTCATTAACAGTCAACTTTTCTGGGTAGAATGGTCTCCCCTTCAGCTTGAGCTAGGCACACAGCAGGTGCTGAAAAGCCTGGCCATGAGCCTGCTAATTAGAAGACTGCAGTTACAAAGGAGAAAAAAGTGCATAATTACCATTAAAAAAAGGAGTATCTGGCCCTGGAGAATCAGATCTGACCCCTTCACCAGCAGGAAGAGAGGTGGGCCTACACCAGTGCTGTCCATATATGTGGCTACAGCACCTCTCTGGCTGTCATGTGCAGGAAGGCCTCGTCCCTCTTCCACTTCTCTGTCCTTCTTCCACTCCTGGCATCCTGGTGGCCATGTGAGTACGCATGCTTGAACAGGGACTTTCCGTTCAGTGGCTGCCTAGGTTGTCATGGAGCGGCTACGTGGCCGAGGGAATAGATACTCTTTTCGATCCTCCCACCACCACCGAACATATACGGCAAGTGTTGGCAGTGCATTCCTCTGATGGCACATCCACTCACAGCTGGCCCTGCATGTCACAGCCGGCTCTTAAGATATGCAGCCTGGTGGCCCCGGCCCACCAGGCAAATGCCCCGTGTGCCCTATGGTCAGTCTTGGCCTGGAAGCTATAGTGCATCTTCTATGAATAGCTGATTCTATTTTACATGAATTGATGAGTGCCTGTCACAGCGCCCTGAGCTCTATAACACCACCAAACCAGAAGAAGTAGAGGGGGATCAAAGGAAGAAGATTTCAAGGCATGCAGGAGCCAGTAGCATACAGTAAGGGGCACATCAGATTAATAAGTACA